CTGCCGCCAATCGCCTCGCATGGAGAGGAACCGGTCGTGACATCATTGAGGCTGGCTAGATCAGGCATGACCACAGCCATAACAAATACAAGTACGCAATCAACCTGCATTTACACGTTCCTCCGCCCGTTTTGCCTCAAAGATTTCTCCCCTTGCGCTTTGCACGGTGTGGTTAAAATCGCAAACATTATTGACAAGCCGGCGTGGCAATCTACTATGACCTTGTTGTTTTGCATCGATTTTTTCACCTTCTTGTTCCTAATTTTAGTTAACTGGATATTTACTCATGCAAAGTGTTGCTTAATATGATTATCACTAAATAAGATGCATTCAGTGTGAAATGGTATAAATGAGACTACCCAGAGGATAGTGTAAGGCTGAGTCATTGAGGTAAAATGAGTACAATTAGGCGCGCAGCCAGGACGGAAACAATGCAACCGTTTTGTCGGTGAAGATGACCGATGTCCACTCCCTCACAAATTTGTTCAACTTCGGCAGCCTTTACGGCTCACAGCGTTGCATTCCTACCCATAGACCGGACGACATGATGGAAACAGCCTGCACTCCAGATGGGTCATTTGTACATGTAAGGCACTACTAGTGCTTTTTTAAATTTTCCTTACGTCTTGAATAGTTTGTGGCATTATTAATTTTTATTTAGGCCTACTACTTTTTCTTACGATATCCGTATATGTGTGTGGTTTTAAGGACTGTGTTCAATTCTGAAAACGACAACAAATGTTTAATTTAATCTTTTACCTGTCTTTTAAAAGCGTCTCTAGTCGCTAAAATAACAAGCCACTCGTTTAAAGACGGAAAACCAATCGACATCACCACATGTGATTGTACTAGTTGGAACATGTGAGTAGTCACCTACAATTATGTCGACGACCTTCTCTGAAATTTACGGCTGTGCCGATGCACTTCCTAACTACTGTGCAACGATAGGGAGTTCAACGGCGTTTGCCTATATTTCCCTTAATGAACTTGACTTGAAATTATTTGTTTTGCCTGAGAACAAGCTTAATTGAATTAATAATTTGAGGGAAAAAAGGATATTTTGAAAAATTTGTACTGTAAATATAGTTAATCAGTCAAAATTCTTCGTCCTCAGACCCCCCCGTCCCCTTGTGCTGGCGGGGATTTCAGTTGTATCGATCGACATCGATCGGCACCTCGAGATGCCGGCTTTTCAACGGGGTTTATTCCGACTGACTGCAAACATTACACTGTGAAAAAGGACTGCTTAAGCAGTATACATATTTTGACGGATTTTTGATGCGAATCGGGCCCCTTATAATTGAAAAGAGAGTTTATGCTAACGGGAGCAAGAAAATATACTTTACTGCATCACTTGGTGCAGTTAGTAGAAAGGTACATCTTTTTAAAATTTTATGATCGAAAGAAAGTTATTTTGCGGTATCTACTAGCGACTCTGGCACCAAGGCAGTGGCGGCAAGTCATATACTTTATGTACATATATACATACATTATTTGTCAGCAAAATATTATCA